AAAACATGACTCTCTGTTTCTACCACGCTTTTACACGCGAAACACTTTCTTTCACTCAAAAGTATTCTCTCATACCGGCCTGTTTCGATGCGTATCGGTGCAACCCCATACCTAAACTTAGCTAGCGCACTACTATGTGATTTAGGCATTACTAACATATTATAATTTTCTACCTCATAATTAAACTTAAATAACCTGTGCGTACGTAGTTTGTTATCTCCAGAAATACAATTTTGGCTCCGGTACGGTTTAGTTCCCTTTTCCAATTTCCAATAAACAATTCCAAGCCACAGACCTTAGCGTCCTTAAGTAAATTTTTACTATTAATTGGACCTGTGCTATAGTTAACCAAGCCTCTAGCTCCCCGAGTCTGGAAATTACCCTGAAGTTCCAATTTTTATTTCGGTGGTTACCTATATGTGAAGGCGACTCCAATGTCTAAAATCAGCTAGCCATTGGTTCACTATTACTGGAGTCCAACCCATGTCCCCGCTAACAGCTACGTTAGGTGCATAGCGACCAAGGCCTAGATAAAATCTACATGCGCGATTTTGAATAGCAACAATACAACTAAATGGACGTGAACCCCATATAGCAGCACCGTAACTAATTACTGACCACACTGTACTCTCATACAGTTGTGTAAAGGTTTTGTTTGGTAAGCCCCCCATTGATTTAGATTTAGCTATTAACAAACCCGCTGATTTGACCACGAGTTTTGCCGTTGCATTAAAATCCAAGTGTTTCGTAAACGTAAGACCTAGGTATGTATACTGGCTACGTATTGCTAGGGCCAGCTTCCCACACGAAAACATACTATCACTGACTGTTACAGACTTTGGACGGAAATGAACAATAGCCGATTTATTAGCGTTAATATTTAGTTTATTGGATTCACACCAAGTATTTAGACCATTTAGTAACGCTCAGTACTAGCCATGACCACCAGATCATCTGCATAGAATAGGGCACATATTTTACGCTCCGTTACCTCTATACATGATCAACAGAAACGAAATTAAGGAGAAGTTACTGTATATACGAACAAGAGGGCCTGTATCGCTCACCTGGATATGTGTAAAGTACTTGAGATGAGGTTAAGCTATATCACTACATTGTATGTACAGTATGTCCATATGAAATTTCAAAAAGATCCATCCAGTATTTCTGGAGATATAGCAAGAACAAACTTCAAACAAGCAAATTCGTGGAATTAATATCCCCCGCTTGCAGTACATATTGTAGGTTAAAATTATTGAGGTTAGGTTTAAACATGTGAGTATCGTGCTGTTGAGATATAATGTATCGCTTGAAACTTGAAGAAAAAAAGCAGTTATACATGTACCTCATTGATTATCAGTAAATATGCACAAATCACATCGGTTGGCAAACTTAGCATGGGTCGGATGTGCATAAGGAATTTGTTTGAAACATCTGAACAATATCTACAGCAATTATCACACGAAAACCAAAGAATGCCCGATATGGGTGGAAAGACAGAGAAACACAAACATTGTTATCAAATTTGAAGGAATTTGGCTAATATTTGCTAGAGTTATAAAGTGGAAACTAAAGATAATGACGTTTTTCGTAAATTAAGGGGCAATAACTCTGCCAAATGGAGTCCGATTAAAGTAGTTGTCAAACTTGGCCGACCCCTCAATGCGTTGAACCCGGTTACTAAGCGTGAAGAAAATCAGTTAACGTTTGTTGTAGTTATTGCACGGAAACGAAACGCAGTAGATAATGACGTTTTCCGTTATTCAAGGGGCCATTACTCCACCAAAGGGATCCGCTGAAAGTGGTCATCAAACTTGGCCGATACCTTTAGGCACTTAACCATGTGACCAAGTTTGAAGAAAATCAGTTAGCATTTGTTGTAGTAATTGCACGGAAACAAAGCGCGGCAGATAATGACTTTTTCATTGTTCAATGGGCCATAACTACGCCAAATGGGGTCCGCTGAAAGTGGCCACCGAACTTGGCCGAGCCCTTAAGGCATTTGACCATGTGACCAAGTTTGAAGAAAATCGGTTAATATTTGTTGTAATTATTGAACGGAAACGAAGCGTGACAGACAGACAGACCGACAAACCCAAATTAATTTCCCCCGTTTCGGTGAAAGCGGGGGATAATAACAAAATCAAAGATGGTGTCCTGGTCACCATCATGATTTAATGAATACACCCTGATAGTAGCAGGCACTACTAGACAACTTGATGGATATGAAATTGAGATTGAGTTTTAAAGAAAAAATTGACGGACGGTCGGACGACGGACGCTGCGCCATGGCATAAGCTCACTTGTCCTTCGGGTAGGTGAGCTAAAAACTACAAAGCAGCGGAACAGGAATCTTTAAGTGCCCAAAGGAAAAAAGCGTAACTAGGACATTTCATTACCATCGATAATGTAGTTCAGTTGGTTAGAGTTACAGTCCCTGGATTGGAACGTCTTGTGTTCGAATCCTCGTCTAGCGCCACTGCTGATTCGTTTTTACTTATTTAGTCTTTATTAGTTTCTCATTCAAGTTTTGGAAGGTGTGTTTTGTACTATCATGTGCAACCCAATTCGTGAAAAGTGAAAAAAATCTTTGTATATTTTGACTAACTAATTTATCTAATTAGTGTGAATTGTTCATATTAGAGCTTCTTTGAATAATAAGTAATAAACAGATAGTTATTACGGAATTTAAAACATTTTTTCATGTTTTCACATATTGGGTTGATAGGATTTATCCTATCATGTGCAACCCAATTCGAGAAAAGTGAAAAAAAACTTTGTATATTTTGGCTAATAAGTCTATCTAATTAGTGGAAATTGTTCACATTAGAGCTTCTTTGAAAAATTAGTAATTAACACAAAGTTATTTAGGAATTTTAAACATTTTTTCATGTTTTCACATGTTGGGTTGATAGGATTTATCCTATCATGTGCAACCCAATTCGTAAAAAGTGAAAAAAAAACTTTTTTGCTAATTAGTGGATTTTATTAGTTGAGATGGTTCAATTTTATATCATAGCATCTTCAACTTTCTTTACGATGATTTTCTATGAGGTTTCGAAACAGAAGAGATAGTGTTCGGGTTTGAATAAAGGTAGTGGGCCAAGGGATGGCAGATGAGTGTGGTCAATATAGGATTCAAACAGGATAGATGTGATAATGTTAGTTATGTTATTCTAACACACACTACATCGTATGCTACTGTAATGAAAGGTTACATGTATAGCCTGCTCTATAAATACGCACCAATGAAAAATACGAATTCTCTCAAACTATCAGAAGATGGTTTTCCCAATTCATCCATCATCTTCAGCTGTTTGATTGTGAAGTTTTTTAAAAAGTATCTCGCATGAGTATGGTGGCATACATTAAATATATGACATTTCGTGTTTTCGCTTTGTCGCCCGCGAAAAGACGCCAAACAACAAAAGAAATAATGATAAGAAGACAATCCGCCAAAGCGAAATTACGCCACACTGATGTGCAAATAACGCCAAAGCGAAGAAATAAAATGGCGCCTTTTCCCCCTTTTTGGCGTTTTTCGCCTTTTTGTCTTTTCGTTCTGGAGGATTTTCGTCTTTTTCGTAATTTCGTTTTGTCGCTTGGCGCAAATTCGCAGGCGAAAAAGCGAAAAGACGAAATGTCATATACATGTATAAGCCATCATACATTAGTCAGAATCTCCGATGTGGGAAACTCTCTTTGTCCTGAATATCATATAAACATTGAAATATCTTAATACTGACCTGAATTGAGGCCCATTTGCTTCGTTTGGTTCATCTCTAGATCCGTTCGGAACTCCTCCCATCCCCGCTGGATCGTTCTCGTCAGGCGGCGATGACACTGAGGTCCTGATGTTGTCCACAAGTTGACCTTGACCGTGTTCGTCGGTGATGGAGATGGCAATACTATCCCCATCATCACCGCCGGGCTGTGAGGGGATGATAATCGGTGATATATGGGCAGTGGGCGGGGTTTTGGTTGTATGTTTTATATTGTTCTCGCTCTGTGTTGTTTTCTCGCTAAATACACCGTTGTTACTATTTCGCACACCCTGCTTCACAGATATATCGTCCAGATCAATCTTTACATCTTTAACATCTTTTGATATCGTTGGTTTCGATGAGAAATTTGATGACTTCTCGTCACTGTCTGTAAAAGCTGGGTTTACTTTGCTAAAAGAGAGTCCTTGAATGTCTGCCATGTTGGTAAACGGAACTACATTTGAATCGGGAATATCAGTTGATGTAACTACAGGTTGGAATTGATTTTCAAAACAGTATTGACCTTTTACCTGTAGCGGAGGTTCGTAGGGATTGTTAGAAATGTTATTTCCGGTATCTGGCAGATATCGCTTAAATGTAAAGCTTTTGAAAATCTCTTCGTTCGCCGTCAGTGTCTGTTTTCTGTGTCTTGGTCGCCACAGACGATTACCATCAGACAGATAATAGTTCACGTAGGCAGCGCTCTCTTCCTCTAAGTCTCTATCCTCTTCTTCGGTGTCAACACCGGAAGTGACGTCGATTCGAAGCAAGTGTTTTGAAGATTGTTTAGCCTTTTTCCTTCCTGAATGACGCTCTACAATACAAAAAAAAGTTTTTATACAGTGATCCTTTAGGACGGTATCGGAATTTCCCTCCGTGTCATATATAATTGATTTAGTTCTGAGTTATTTGTAATACCAGATACCTTTATATTTTAGTGATACTTTTATCATTCAACCCTTGTAATAAATTGTAAGAATTACTCTGTTACAGATCACATTTTTACTTTATTGCGGTATATCGATATTATTAAACCGATATTATTCACATCAATACGCATCATGTGTTTAACAAGTAACTGAGAAGAATTTAATTGTAGATACATGTACAAGTAGACAACTCGTGTGTCTGTTTGGTATATAGACGAACCAGTTCGTGTACGTTTCAATGTCAGATTTCACGGACGAAACCTGACGGATATGCAAATGACCTTGAAAGTCTATGTAAGGACAAGTCAGAAAGCAACGTCAGACCACTAGGTCCCTACTTCTTTTATAAAAACACAACCCTCTCCCAACCGACCACCATAACCAGACATGGATCGACGAAAGCTAGCATTGGTTTCATAATTCTTATGACATTTCTTTTAAATGCATATCCCGCTTGTAACACTAATGAACAGCTTTCCGTTAGACACAACTAAAAAGTATGACTACATATACCGGTGTCATTTTATCTGCACCCCGTTTTAGTTTTCAGAAGTAAATAAATTAATTGTGCATTTAAAAAAAAAGTTTTTCTTTTATTGAGACATTTTAAGAACTGACCAACATTATTCTGGAGCTGTAGAAAAATTAAGAAAAAAAAAGAGAACACAACCTTTATAAATATGTGTCATTCTGTATCATTTGACATCATTCTTTGGAATTCCGTAACTAGTTTTCATAATAATCTTGATATTTAAATCAATGAATCACATCAGTTAAGCACACACACATGGCACTAGATTAGACAGAAAGCACTCACCTTCTTTGGAAAAATCGATAGAAAGAGGTATACTCCGAGAAAAATAATAAAATAATTTCAGATATTCTCAGTGCCAAAACCTTTATAGCTGAATGCATATATCCGGATGTCCTACGCATTCGATACTCTGACAGAGTTTCCACGTCAGAATATCATTCAAGCGTCCAAAAGAACTCGCTTTTACCGTCACCAAGATGTTTGTTTTAGGATTTGGCTATCTCTTGAAGATAGGACTGTTTGTTGACTCTATTCATTAACACCACAAGGATTACCTATGTGGATAGATCGGTACACATCTATTCATCATGACGTCACACGGTTAGGTCTGTCGTATGTTGTTTTTGTATCTCATGCTTATTAAGTTCTTCACACTATAGTTTAATCTATGTTATATATAATCTAATACCTATTTCCAATATTGCACCCTTTTAAGTTGGTGTTTAAGAATTTAAAGGTAGACACGTACTTGTAGCGGGAGATTTTATCCCCGCTCCGTCACCCTCCCTGGTATCTGACAAAACATATAAGAAGATTTAACAACAAGACACTGGAACAGAGCACATATTGAACCGTGATAGTGTTTTTTCGGGTACCTGAATACAATAGAATATCACTTACTCGAACAATTTGATTTGCAGAATAAACTACAGAAATAAGAATTTGCTGAAACACAATTAAACACTCACGTTCACGAGGAAAGAAATAAGTTCCTGAATATTAGGGTTGATCGAATATTGAGTATCGGACTTACAGACTAGAGATTAATGAGGCATCGTCATTTTAAACTTATTGATTTACGGACAATAAAAACCAAATGCCATGTTTTAGTCGTTAGGTTCGACACTGGGGCTAAGTACATCATAACTGAATCTTCAAGTCACGAACAGTTCATATAGGATTACTTAGCAATTGACCTAACCAGCTAGACGTGATCATTTACATGTTGTCAATGGCGGGAACCATTCACGTAAGCGGCGTCGAGTTTCTCACCTAGGTATGATAAATGAGAATTTAAATATAATTTAAAGTTCAAAAATTAAATGCCAATCTTTAAAATTTCATCAACTGATATATCAATAGAATACAAACTACTTGTAATGGTTATTTTATTTTCTCCCACACTCCACAGGGTTGTCCCTCGTTAAGCTGGGAAAGATGTAGCCTCGTGCAGAATAACACGTGCTAAATTGTGACGTCATAAAAAAATGCTATAGTTTACAAATATACCAGACCACAGTCGGTTGAGTTGTGACTGAAACAATATGAATAGAGAAAATACTCCACCAATAATCATCCCCAACCTTCTTGTAACCGACAAATGTATAAACCTAGAAGGTTGTCTAACCCTCGGGCTAGAACATATCAACAACAAACCCTCGATATTGAGATTTCACTGTCATATCTTTCACGTAGGAGACATGCTATTAGTCAACTTTACGATTAAATAAAGGTATAGAGTAGATTAAAATATTTTAAAATCGTGATTACTGATTTGATAATTCAATTTTCAGTTAACAACTAAAAATGTACAATGTAAATATAAGGATTGAACGGCATTTTTTCAATTTCATGTCGGTATGAAACCAGTGCACGTGAAACCCCTCTGCCCTTAAAAATAGTTTACATACACCGTGTATCGATCTGTTTAAAAAAAAAAATAGGTTTGAAAGAAAACAATAAATATCAGAGTTTAAAAAAATTGAAATGAATTAGTTACCAAAATTATATATTGATTTTTCATATCACTGTGACATTTTATTGAGAAAAACCAAGATTAAAACAAAAACATAATTTAAGAAAGAACCCTTCATAAAGGCCAAAACTGGTATCTTGCTTCAGTTTGTGCAACATGACATGGTTCAGACCACACGCGTCGCATACTTAACTGAATATGTAGTCAAACAGTGTTACAACGCCTTATTCAGACGACTAAGTTATACTACTTGCTGAGCAGGCACAAAAAGCATTGTTCGCTTTATATAGAAAGATAAGAAATATTAGTTTGCTTATTGATCTACAACTGAAATTATTTAATATTTTATTTAATCCAATATTGTTATATGCTGCTGAGATGTGGAGCTATGGAAATATCAATATCTTGGAGACAATCCATCTGCTGTTTTCAAAAAGAATACTTAGTATTACAAAGAGTACTCCTAGCTATATGGTAAATGGAGAAACGGGATGATTTCCTTTAGAAAAATAGAAATTAAAGTGAGAATGATTTTGTTTTGGCATAAATAAATAACAAACAATAGTAAAATAGCCAGCTATATGTATAGAATAATGCTACAAATCCATGAAAAGGGGTATAATCTTAAATGGACATATTCTGTGAAAACAATTTCAAATCATTTCAGCAGGTTTATACAATGGAAAGACATCAATTGAATTTTAGTACAACAAAAACTTAAAGACCAATATATTCAAAAGTGGTATGCTGATATAGAAAATAGCAGCAGAGGTCAAACATATTCCTTATTTAAATCATTTTTTTTGTCCCGAACCCTATTCATTGAAACTTAATGAAAAGGAACGCATATTAATATGAAGATTTAGAACTGCAAACTTTAAAATCCCAATTGAAACTGGGAGATGGATAGGAATATCTAGGGAAGAAAGAATATGTAGTCTATGTCGTGAATCTGTTGGGGATGAATTCTATTACTTGTTTAAATGTCCAAACAACTCAATTAGCGTTTTAAGAGAAACATTTATACCAGGATACTATACACGTAATCCTACATCTTATAAAATGAAAGGTATGTTTAATATATGTCATGTTAAACTTTATAGAAATATTTTTATATTCCTTAGAAAACTTACTTCAATAATACAATACTAGAAATTGTATTAAATGCCAAACAATATTTTTTTTCTACATATTCATGTTAACGTGTATCACTTTTGCATTGTTTAATGTATGGCAGGTTTAAATAAGTTAAAAGCATGTACGGTAAAAATATTAAATAAATATTACACTATCTACTAATTACATGTATGTATTTGTATAAGATACACGTATGTAATTTTAAAATTTTTAATATGGTGTTCTAATAGAATCTATCGCTACTGGTTGTGTAAGATAGAGAAATCTCAACCCTCGGACTAAGATTTTTGGTCCAGAACTCGGCAAGCCTCGTTCTGGACAAAAAAAATCTTAGTCCTCGGGTTGAGATTTCTCTATCTTACACATCCAGTAGCGATAGATTATTTTTCTCCCATATCTAACAGTATTTTAATGTGAAATAAAGGTAAACATGGACCCAAAACACATACAGGCAATTTGTTGATTGATTGTTGACGTGTCGTCATTGTATTGTTGAAGTGACGTCATGCCATTGTTATGAATAGGGGAATCCCCCCGTCTCAACCCTAGGTCGGAGACAGATAAATCTAGCACCGGCAAAACGGGAGATAAATCTGTCAGGTGTGGGAGAAATAATGATATTATGTAATGATGACCTCTAGTTACACGTTGAACGTGTGTCAGAGTGGATACATAAAAACCTTGACATCCTACTCAGTTGCTAATTGAAGCAGTAGTCGTGTGTGTTAACAAAGGCTCGGGTAGATACCGATCTCCACCGTTAATTACTAATAGAATCATTCACCCTCTTTGGGGTGAGATAGGGGAATCTCAACTCGAGGGGGAAGATTCTTATGTTGCCAAACACGAGGCTTTGCCGAGTGTTTGGCAACTTAAGAATCTTTCCCCGAGGGTTGAGATTCCCCTATATTACCCACAAGGGGGTGAATGATTCTTTTTCTCTTACCCTGTTTTCCCCAATGTGTATCATATACACAATGTAATGATAACGTTACATGCTAAATTCAGGGTTGATGTGACGTTGATGGATTGTTGACGTGACGTCATTGTATTGTTGCAGTGACGTAATACCATTGTTATAAATAGGGGAATCCCCCCGTCTCACCCCGAGGGCGGAGACAGATAAATCTAGCACCGGCAAAACGGGAGATAAATCTGTCAGGTGTGGGAGAAGATTATATATTGCACTGATAGAAGATTATCTACTGCTGGGAGATATATGTCATATGAAAAAAATT